GTCTCACTGAAATTCAGTGGAATTCCACTGGAATTCCAGTGGTTTTTTTCAATGGGGATATATATATATATATATAAGGAGGTGAGAAGCATGTGATTTGTAGTCTGTGACCTTAACCACTGACTGAGCTACCGCGACTCCCAGTAATTACAGTGCTTCGCAAAGTCAATAAAATCAATACAGATGTAACTCCCAAATATAAATTACGTATACTCTCTGCAAAATTGGCAATTATATTTATTTATTATATATATTTACATTATTATATACATTCATGCAAAATGGACATGGAGTTGAAATAACCACAGGAAAAAAATGGTTTCTGAGGATACTGAGTTTTCTCATCATTCATAATTTCATGAATAATTGTGAATTTTGTGTATTTGAAATATTCATCAAAGTTCATGATTTCTGCTCAGTCAATCTTTAAGGAATTTTGATGAATTTTAATGAATTTGCATTATTCATTTAAATTCATCAAAGTTTGTGATTTCTCAAGGATATGCCTTTCATGAATTCTGATGAATTTTAATGAATTTTTGCTGTGCATAAAAGTCCATGAATAATTCATAATCACAAACTTCATGCAGAGTCATGCATTTTTGTGAATTTATTAATTATTCATAAAAGTTCATGAAGAATGCATAAAAGCATTTCAAACTGTCTGTATTCATGAATGTTCATGAATTGTTCATGACCATTCATGATTTCATGAATACCGTCTCGCAGGGGAATTTATTGGTACATCAGGTGACATACTGTATCTTTGAAACACCTGTAAGGTAACACTGACACATGGTACATCAGGTGACATACCTTTGAAACATGTGATCTACTGTGGTGTATCATTTGGTGGAATAAATTACATGGCCCCAAACATTAGATTTCTCATTACATGTAACCCTGGGTAATAAATAACGAATGTGTTTATCAATTAATCTGTCACATGGTACATCAGGTGACATACAGTACCTTTGAAACACCTGTAGGGGAACACTGACACATGGTATATCAGGTGACATACCTTTGCAACACCTGTAGGGCAACACTGACACATGGTACATCAGGTGACATACAGTACCTTTGAAACACCTGTAAGGTAACACTGACACATGGTACATCAGGTGACATACCTTTGAAACACCTGTAGGGTAACTCTGACACGTGGTACATCAGGTGACATACCTTTGAAACACCCGTAGGGTAACACTGTCACATGGTACATCAGGTGACATACCTTTGCAACACCTGTAGGGCAACACTGACCCATGGTACATCAGGTGACATACTGTATGTTTGAAACCCCTGTAGGGTAACACTGACACGTGGTACATCAGGTGACATACTGTATGTTTGAAGCACCTGTAGGGTAACACTGACACATGGTACATCAGGTGACATACTGTATGTTTGAAACACCTGTAGGGTAACACTGACACATGGTACATCAGGTGACATACCTTTGAAACACCCGTAGGGTAACACTGACACATGGTACATCAGGTGACATACTCTACATTTGAAACACCTGTAGGGTAACACTTACACATCAGGTGACATACCTTTGAAACACCTGTAGGGTAACTCCGACACATGGTACATCAGGTGACATACTGTATCTTTGAAACACCTGTAGGGTAACACTGACACATGGTACATCAGGTGACATACTCTACCTTTGAAACACCTGTAGGGTAACACTGACACATCAGGTGACATACTCTACCTTTGAAACACCTGTAGGGCAACAGGCACAGCATCCTCCTCCTGTAGTGCTCCTATCTTAAACAGACAGCACAGGAAGGCCACAAAGGACAGCTCATGTCCTGGGAGAAGAGAAACAATAAATATACCAATCTGAGGTCCTACAGGAAGAGAAACATACACATACCAATCTGATGTCCTACAGGAACAGAAACAATACACATACCAATCTGATGTCCTACAGGAAGAGAAACAATACACATACCAATCTGATGTCCTACAGGAAGAGAAACATTACACATACCAATCTGATGTCCTA